AGAAGTTTTATTTATAAAGTCACATAGTTATTAAGAAGGTCTGAGTCCTTCAAATTTTTCTTATAATCTGTATAATCTTATAGCATTTAATTTTTGCTTCTATTTCCTCATATAAGAAAATATTATAATAATAACATTTCATAGACACATTATAAGGATTTAATGTTATTACATGTAAAACATGAAACAGTATCTGACACATTAGTATTTCATTATTATTATTATATGTTGATTTTTAGTTAAATAATTTAAATTGAATTTTATGTCATCAAACTTACTATGGCCAAGAATTATATAGAAACCCAGGTTTAATGTTAGTGTTAAACTGCTGGAAGAGAAACAGGCAGGACTCAGTGAACATAGAATTTACATTTCTAAGTCTGCAGAATAAGTAACAATGAGCCATAAGCCCATGATTTGGAATTTGTAGTAATTTAGGAGAAATTTTATTTCCCAGACACTGTGAAAGCAAAGTTTGCCAGACAAATAAATAAAGGGTATTTTTGACTAGCATAAGAGAAAAATATTTGATAAAATTTAAACTACTCTATGATCTTTTAGCATAGAAAAATAAGTTAAGGTGCATTAATGAGTAAGATGCATAGAGAGGTTATTTAAAAATGGTTCTTATTTGTATATTACAGTAGGTCCAGGAAACCATATGCTTGAAAACATATTATTAGTAATTGGATAAATTTGTGTTGTTGTATGTACTGAAAGTAATAAATGTATATTTTCTTCCCACATAATATTTCTGACTTTTTCCCTACTCTTCAGTATTACTGAAATTTCTAAACATTAATTTAAAAGAACTCAATCAATATTTAAAGCTAAGAGATCCTTTATTCATTAAAAAAAATAAAACAGGTACAAATATTTAAATGACTTTGCGAAACACATAACCCACATTCCATAAGACTTTCCCCAAAATCATCATCGCTGATGATTTGCCACCAGCAGCAGGTTAGTGAGAATGACCTAGAATGTGTGGTCATATTCTATACTTGTTCATCATCAGATAAAAGGCTATGATATAGAATGTCACATTACCTCCAACCAACTGAATCGTGTTAGTTTGTGGGGAAGGAATGAAGGTGGCAGAGAGACAAAGTGAATTACCTTTTGAATTTTATACCATAAGCATGTAAGGTCTATTCCAAAATTAATGAGGAAATTAATACAGTTGAGAAGTCCTTCTTTATCAGGATATTCTCTTTCCTTAGCTTTCATCATCACAGTAGTTTTCCTCTTACCTTTTGCACCAGTCCTAATTTGGCTCTTCGGATGGCTGTAATTGTACTTTACCAGAAGATTCTCTTCTAGATCCTCTAGTCTTCTCATTCTGTTCATCCTTCTGAGAAAAGTCTCATGTGCTCCTATGATTTAAGTTATTTACACTGCCAGGATCTTCACAAATACACTCATTCATTAAAACATATGTATTAAGTGTCTACTATGGACACTAGGTACTGCAATACAGTGGTGAGTAAAGCAGACAAAAATCTCTATTTTTAACTTTTATTCAATGCAGTAAGACAGAAATAAAATGGGTAAAATATAAGATGATTGTAATATGTTCTAAAGAGACAAATCAAAGCAGAAAAGAGAAGCAAAATTGTTAGAATGGAACACAGAAATTTTGTGTTGGTCCCGCCTCCCCCCTCACTTCTGAGCTGAAGCGGAAGTTCAGAAGCACATGGATCAAAACATGTGGTGCACCTTGGATGGCTAGCAGGTACCTTAAACCTATCATGACCCAAACTGAGTGTATTATCACCAGCAACTTCTATCACCACTACTGAATTGCTCAAAGAAGAAATGTATGAATTATCTTTGGATACTTCTCTCTCATTCCCCATATTCTACCCGTCACAAAGTTCAGTCAGTTATCACATAATTCTAGTCACTTCTCTCCATCTTCATTGTCACTATCCTAATGCAGGTCAACATCAATTCTCATCTGGATTCCTGCAATAATAGATCTCCCTACAGCTACTACCATCTTACTTCCAATGTCATTAAAACTCATCTTATCAGTCCTCTATCTCCACAGATCAATGGTCCCAAATCGCTACTGCGAAGCTCTACAATGGCATTAATCTGGGGGCCACTCTTACTCTTCTCCTCTAGTCTTATTTTTTTTTAAAGATTTTATTTATTTACTTGAGAGAGAGAGTGAAAGAGAGAAAGAGAGAGTATGAGAAGGGGGAGAATCAGAGGGAGAAGCAGACTTTCTACTGAGGGGGGAGCCCAACTCTCAGGTCTTGATCCCAGGACTCTGAGATCATGACTTGAGCTGAAGGCAGAAGCTTAACCAACTGAGATACCCAGATGTCCTTCTTTTCCTCTAGTCTTATAGTTCTTCCTTCATTCTTCATTTATGCCATCCTCTCTTGGTCCAGAATATTTGCACATACTATTCCTTCTTCCTGGAACGCTCTTCCCCCAACTCTTCATTAGGCTAACCCATCTTTCAAATCTCAATTGATGCATTAATTTAACCAGCAAATTTTATCTAATACCTCAAGCTGATTTATTTGTACCAGTTATGAATTCCGTAATACCCTATCTTTCCTGCTTTATGATACACACTATACATTATTACTTCTATAATGGCTCTACCCATACTGGTGTAAGCTCCAAGAAGATAAGGACTGTGTTTGCCTTTTCAACACATCATCCCCAATGTTTGTCAAATAATGTTTAACATAGAGTAGGTGCCTAATACATATTTACCGAATAAATGAATAAATATTATAGTAAAGACTAAGGAAAGACAGATGGTGACTGGTTTTATCTGGAATTTGTGTGCTTCATACTCAGTGATGATTTTGAATCATGATCTCTTAACAATACTTACATTTTTGCCTTCTTGCTATGCATCTGGGATCAGGGAGGATGCCCTCCAGTGCCCTCCTTGCACATTATTGTTCCAATTTTCACATTCTTAGGCTGTGTTATCAGTTCCAGAGAGAAATTCTGGTGTTGATTCTGCTGTACAATAAGACTCATTTTTAGATATAAGTTGATCTCAGATGTTATAAGTAGTGGGAATATCTTTTTGATTATATTAGTATTATCTATTGGTAAAAGATACCCCTGAGATGTTACCACATAAATAAAATATTCTTTTGTTGTTTCTCTTTTAGATTGCCTTTAATACATTGCCTTCTTAACCCTATCTTAGTTCCCTTGAAATGTCAGCTCCTCTCTTCTCAAGCCAATCTATCATCATCACATTAAATTTACGTCCACTCAGTCTTTATACATTAATGTTATTAAACCTTGTTTGTTGTCCTGTACACTCATTATGCTTTATTCATTAAAATTTGTTAATATTTGTTAACTTCATGCTAAATGCTACAAATATATTTACGTCATTCTATAATCAAATGAAGAAGATACAATTATCATTCCCATTTTTACAGAAGAATGAAATATGGCTTAGGTTTACTGACCTAAGTTACAAAGATACTAAGTATTCAAACTGGGATTTGAACCCAAATAAGTTCTGCCTCCAGTTCCTTTGAAACTCACAGTTTGCATTGTGCTATTGTTTTACTTGCTGAGATGCAATTACTTTGATTTTAACTCTTTGCCCTCCTCTCCTTTATTTTTCTGTATAAGACAAGTCTTCCACAAGTACTTGTTTAATTGTTCACTGGGCTATTTTTATTACCAGTGGATGACAATATTTTTGGTATTGTTCTGTTAACTAAATATTCTTCTTTCAGCCCAAACTGAAGGGAGGCTGGCTGTGCAGAAAGTGAAACATGGATAACTAATGGTCAGAAGGAAAATCCTGTTTTGGAGTGCTTTCCAGAAAAAGACAAGTTTCCTAGGTTTTCACCAGGTAATTACCTGGGGTTCAAACTGTTTAGGACTCCTGTGGATATAATGCTGGTAGACTAAACTTTGTTTTCTCTTCAGTACGTTAGCTTGTGTAAAAGATTCCCATTGTATATAAGTGTAAAAAGAGGAAAACTGGCAATTTTCCTCTGCCATGGGACTGTATTTTGTCCTTGAAACTCTCACTCGGAATAATTACAGATGGGAGAGTTAAGGATTTCATCTCTCCTCTCTCTCCTTCTGTCTCCCAGTCTGCCCCTCAGCGGACTCCTTGAGCTTGGAGCCCTGGAGCCCGGCAGAAAGCCAGGCTGTAGAACCGCAAGGTTTATGGCGTTGTTTTACCTGTCTCAAATTCAGAAACTCCCTTAGTGAAGGCACAGAGCTCTCCCTGCTCGCGTTCCCTCACAGGGGAGCTGTCGGATTCCCGCCTCGAAGCCCTCCCGCCTCCACCCTCGCCTAGGAGTCATTCTCCAGAGACACCGCAGGAAGACCCTCTGACCTAGGCGGGGTGCGGGCCAGGGAGGGAGGCGGTCAAGAGGTAAATGGGTCAGGAGCTTGGCTGGGACCAGGACCCCGAGGAGTCCCGGGTGCTGCGAGGACTGCTAGCCTTCGGAGCGCCGCCGGCCCACTACAGCGGGTACGCGCGGCGGGAGCCTCCCCTCGGTTCAGACTTGGGCCAGGCAAGCCTGAAACCTCGCGCTCCCGCTCCTCCCGCAGCCGCCGACGGCTCCGCGGGCCCCCGGAGCTCTGCGGCAGCCGAGAGCCGGCAGCCGGCATGGTCTCGGACCTAGGGGCCAAGGCTGTCTAGTCTAGGTTAGGGACACTGGCTTTGGAGTTCAATTCGGGTTCCACCTCTAGCCTACTAGGTGACCTTGGCCAAGTCGCTTCGCTTCAGTGCTCCAGCTTCTAAATCCGTATGAGGGAACTGAGGTGATGGCTAAATCCTGGGACAGTTGTAAGAATTAATAAGGCACTCCTGGCAAGTAGTAGGCGCTCAGTTAATGGGTAGCAATGGTCAGCAATAGGAGTTAGAAGCGAAAACTGCTCTGGGTCCCGAACGTAGGTTTGGGCTCTGGCTTTTCCAGCTCCTCACCGAGGAGTGGGGGAAGGGGCAGCGGCATCACCTGCCCTACATCCCCTTCTCCCTCCTCCCTCGTTCCAAGATAACTCGGGAGTACCGAGAGAGGAAGGCGTCCTGGCCTCGGGCTCCCTCACACACCCAGAACCCCCAGCCTTGTAGCCGCTGCTGGCACCCGCGGCACGTCTCTCTCCCTCGAGCTGAGGAAACATTTTGGCCGTGAATTGAGTATCTCCCTCCCTCTCCAACCGCCGAGCTCACTCGCTGCCTCCTCCGGGTTCCGGTGGCATTGGGGAGCCGGGCAAAGGCTCGGGCGGGAGGGAAGAGGCAGCATCGGGGTCTCAGAGTGTCTCCCGGCACTGGGAAGCCGAGCGAGGACGAGGTGGAGCGGAGACAGAGTGAGAACGCCGGGCCCCCAGGCGTCCCTAGGCCCCTTCCTCATTTTGCTGCCTTCCAGGGACCGCTCTGGCTTTTGCCATCCCGAGCCACACTCAGCCCCAGAACAGCCCGGTGTCCCTTAGCCGCCACTCGCCCTCTCCAGCTGGGACAGAGCTCCGGGGGGCACCGGCTCCGCCCGCGGCAGGAGTGGGCGGCCAGCGCAGGCCCGGGAGGTAAGTAGGCGCGGGAGGCGGGTTGGGAGAGTGCCTGCACGTGCGCGCGCCTGTGCGCGTGCTAGGAGGGGGCGTGGGGGGGGGGTCCGCCAGGGGTGCCCCCCCAGGGCCACCTGCCCTTGCAGCACCGTTTCGCCGCCCCAGCCCTCTCGCCCCCGGCACTCAGGGTCTGGCTCTAGCCATCCGCGTTCCCCACGCTCAAGTCCCATCACCCCCTCATCCAAACCCCACCCTCCCCACTAATAATTTCCCAATGCAGAATCAGACCGAAACCTGGAGAGACAGCGTTGCCTTTCTGCTCCCCTCACCCCCCCCTCCCCACCTCCTTCTATAAATAATCCGGACTAGCGGGTCAGGCACGTCACACGGCAAGAAACCGGGACCCCGAGGTTTTCTTCTCTGGGAATAGGGGGCAAAGGGTGAGGAGGAGGAGAAAGAAACCGCTCGTGAGTAGTGAAGAAAAGCTTGCTCCTTGACTCCTAGAAGAGACGAGACATCATTTTATTCTTCCTTTCTTTTTCTTTCTTTTTCTATTTTCCCGTTTCTTTCTTATTCTCTACTCCCCTACCCCCCCCCCCCCCCCCCCCCCCTCCCTTTCCCTCTTTTTCCCTTTTCCCCCTTCTTTTTTTTTTTCTCCCCCCCCCCCCCCCCCCCCCCCCGCCCCAAATCCGACGGATTGCTCAGCACTTCTCCCATTGGTTTCTTTCTTCCCTCCCCCTTGGACTGCTGCACCCACCGTCCCTCCCCCCCCGTCCCCACCCCACACAACCCCCATCTCCAGCACAAATCTCGCCCCACGCAGGGGATGCTATTCGCAAGGAAATAAAGTTCAAACTACTCTCCTCTTAGGCTTGCTGATACCAGAAGTGGGCTCCCAGGCAACCCATTTCCACTAGCAGTCCACACCTGCTGTCTTTTAAATTCCCTGTCTGGTTTTGCATATTTAAGAGGAAACACACAAACACGCCCCAAAAACCCGTGAGGTACAAAACTGCCTCCAGGAACTACCAAAACTTACCAGGGGCTCTAGTTGTTTTGTCTTAACAAAAGGAAAACAAAGATTTTACTCTGGGTCCTCCTTGGGGTGACTTTCTTATATTATTCAAATATGTATATGTTTTATATATATATATATATATGTTTTTCCTTTTTCCCCTTTAATTTTTTTTTTTTTTTTTTTTTTTTTTTTCCCTTAGCAAGAAAATCTGCTCGGTCCCAGGCAGCCGCCGCTGCCCCTTTGATGTTTTGGTACACCGTGCGCATGCGCCTCACATTAGAATTACTGCACTGGGCAGACTAAGTTGGATCTCCTCTCTTCAGTGAAACCCTCAATCCCATCAAAAACTAAAGGGATGTGGAGAGTCCGGAAAAAGGGCTACTTTGGGATTTGGTCATTCCCCTTAATAATCGCCGCTGTCTGTGCGCAGAGGTAAGTGTGCCCAGCATTTCTCTTTTTCATTTCACTTTGAAGGGCTCTGTCTGCATACCTCTGTGAGCAGGGATCTGTAGTGAGGATCAGATAAATGCTGAAGAGGATGTGCCTGCTGCCTTATTGATGCCTGTTATTGTCTTTTCTTTCCTTAGTGTCAATGACCCTAGTAATATGTCGCTGGTTAAAGAGACAGTGGATAGACTCCTGAAAGGCTATGACATTCGTCTGAGACCAGATTTTGGAGGTAATGGGGTTGCCTTGGAAATAAGAAACAGCCCAGCTATAGCCTAAGCTGTCTTGTGAGCTTTGTGCGCGCTGTGTCTTCCCTCTCCCTCATTGTTGGCTGCATGTGGTATAGCGAATGTGTCTCTCTGTTACCATATTGAGAAAGTGATCCAAACTTAAGCCGATTTGTTGCTATCCAGCACTTAGATGGTCTTTCAGCGAGACCCTCTTAAGAGTGTATAGGTGACTGCAGTTCTTAAGCTTCATTGCTGAAATCTTTTGCTTCACTGTCTTTGCTTCATTGAGATACAAACCTCTTAAGTTTATCTAATTGTGTGCCCAGAGAACCTGGCTTACTGGAGGCCATCGTGAACATTTTTGAGAACAAAATGTGCAGGCAATTGGTTGAAAAGTGACATTAATCCCCTGTGCCCGCCTACTTTGGAAGAGTTCTGGCAATGGTTTAAAGTGGCTCGTATCTGGATATTTTCCAGACCCGGAAGCCCCACTGTTTGGGGCGGGGGTGGGGGGTAGGGAGGGAAGGGGTTGGGGAGGGCTAAAAGGCAGGGAGGGTAAGTGGAGAAGGGCTAGGGACCTTTTGCTGCAGCCTTAGATACACTGATATGCCCATTTAATTTTGCTTTAGATTCTTCCGAAACTCAAAGAGTTAAAACCTGCGCACCGAAGGGGGGCGGGAAAGAATGAGGAGGAGGGGGTTTTAGTGCAATATATAAAAATTCCCTCAGGCTAGACCGGTTCCTCTGACTTCTGTGAGTTGTTTTCTCTTACTGAGACATCTACATATGTAGATAGAATTGGAATCCCTCTTACAGGAGGGCACGTGTGTACACGTTCCATAGAGCATTTCCTAGAGGAGTGCCTGGCACTCCTTTTAAAAAGGAGCAGAGAAGTGAAGAATATAAGGGTGAGCAGCGGGGGAGGCATTTGGGGCAGAATACCCCATGCCCAGGGAAAGCTCTTGCTGAGAATGAATGAAGTTCTCAGAAATCACGTGGCTGGCTATCTTGGTTCACAGGTCCCCCTGTGGCTGTGGGAATGAACATTGACATCGCCAGCATTGATATGGTTTCCGAAGTTAATATGGTGAGTACTGAGGTTTATGGTTATATCTCCGCAGACCTTTATTTGGGGACAGGAAGTGGAAAGGAGCCGGTTGGTGGGGATGGCGTCTGCATGAGTATGTGTATGAAGTGGGGCTGAGGGCTGAGGACTTTGCTTTGAAGCCCACTGTGTTTGAGGTTTCAAAGCCATCGTTTTTTGGTCCCTAAGGATTTTCCCAACCTGGTTTGGATACCTGGGAATTGTTACAGAGCAAGTAAAATGCAACATAATTCACGTGCAAAACACAGCCACATGCAGAATATCCCTTGGCAGAAGCCACATTTCTTAAGGTTTAGTGGGAAACGAGATTCATCGAGGATTTTCTGAGTTTGGGGTGGGGTCAGGAAAAGAGGGAAGGGTTTTGATTTGATATTTCACAGGCAATATAACTATAAACTGTCACAAAGAGGCTGAATAAATGACCCTGGGATACTGATGTCCACTTGTTGCTTTCAGAGATGGTTTCTTTACAGCTGATGGCAATCTCCTCCTCCCACAATTGTTCACCAGCTCTTTTAAAGTCTGCTGCTCACCAAAATAAATTACAAAAATTGGTCACCCTGTTTTCTAAAGGCAAGCTCAGACCCATGTGCCCTAGCTAGTCACTTCTGCAATGTTATTCACTGCATGTCCTAAGGTCGTACATTTTACGGACAACTGCACTTTTTATTGGCTACCTCCTTGGACTTGGGGCAAATGCTAAGAGAAAAAGCCTCCGTGTTCCCAACCAGGGACACTTGTGGGGGGTTTGCTTCATGCAGGAGCGCCCCCTGCTGCCTACCTTGGGTCACTACAGACGTACAAAACAATGACAAGTGTCCCAGATACCCCAGATTATTTGGGCTGCTACTTGTCTTTCCAGTGACTTTTCTACTCTGTGTCTTTGAAGTTTTCTCCTTTGGAAAAGTCCCTCTAGAAAGGCCACATCTGAATGTAAGATGCGAGTGTTACTTTCAATCCTGAAAGCACACAGCACATTTCAGAAGATCGTGTTGTGGCATGGTTCTTCCTAGAGATGAAATGCACTATTTAAATAAGAGTATGTCCTGTGTAAAGTTTTCTGCAAAAACACTTCTAAGCCAGCCATCAGAACTTGAAAGTTAGGACACTTATTAATTAACTCAAGAGAGCCAAAGTGCTAGGTAGTGGATAGGTTCTCAACATTATGCAAATTTCCATATTCTCAGAATTCAAATAGAGAGCAAGTCAAATCACCAGCCTTATCCCTATACACTCTCCAAAGACAGTTGATAATCCTGAGGTATCACAAGGTTATAAAACATCTCACAACTACTCCAGGGAATATTCAACAGTTTCAGCCATGTTTTAATGTCATGTTTGTCTTCTTATGTTCTACTTATTGGTAAGGTTTTTGATATATAAGATACAAACACAGACTGAGACAATATTGGGTGATTCAGAACCACAGATTTCCCACACATTATGAAAATCCCCTGTTGTCAGAGAATATGTCCTCCTTGGGAAACTAATCTCTCAGATACACAAATATTCATTTTGTGGGATTATGGAGGTCTTTCATTGGTTTAAATTTGGAGTTTTACCATAACTATTACCATTTGCCAACAAGAGTGAAGCAAAAAAAAAAAAAAAAAAAAGAGTAAAGCGAAAAATGTCCTAAAGTGTGTACCTCTCAAGTCCCAAACATTTGAATCTAAATTGTGTTGCTAGAAACAGAGTGATTAGAAATCTGGTATTGTTCTGTATCCTACATATAGTCAAATCAGACTCCTTTCTTTTGCCTTTTGATTTATGTTTTTGTTTTTTTTTTACATAACAACATCACAAAATGGTATTCTATGGAAAAATTAGGAAACAGAGTCCAAACAGACAATGATGAGAAGATTAGAAGTTGCTGTGATAGGTCAGCTAGGAACTTAGATGTGTTGTATCACCCGAATGTTTAGAGTAGTGTTTTTTTTTGTTTTTTTTTTTTCCTTAAGTTTTGTTCACCTTTTACCTGCATGCAGCATTTTGGAAAGGCATCTGAGCTGGACACAATGCCAAGACCTGCTAGTCAAAATATAGACACCAGCTAAGGCAAGGTGTCATCTCTTAAAGCTATTTACTGTTGCTGAAAAATCATGGGATGTTGAAAGTGCAAAAACAAATGTCAGGTTGTAAATAGGCCAGTACTGAAGCATTAATGATTAGAACCAAGTGTCAAAAATCCCATACCAGATTCCTATCTTAGCCTACTGCTAACACATGTAGACTTGTCCAGACGTATTTTTACTTGTTGAAAAACTAACACATTTCAGCTAACAGTCAGAGTGACTTTAAATTAATCCTTTAAAGAAAAATTTTGCAGGATATTTTATTCTTAGATATGCTTATTTGATTTGAAGCAACAGATGGGAAATTTCATCACTGGTGTGTAAAAAAAAAAAAGAAGAAGAAAAAGAAGATGTTCATGGCATATTGTCCCCTGTATACAGGTTTAAAAGTATCAGTATCTTTTGATCATTTTTAGTTCTGAAAGAATGACTGATTATTTAAATGAAACCTCAAAATTAATTAACATACATTGTTATGTTTTGTGACATGCAACCTCTGGTAATTGTAACTTCCTTTTACTATAGCAAATCTTCCTTTGAGGGATGGTAGACACTATGCCATATAGATTGTCAAAGACTCATTTGTACTGAAGGAAAAGACCCATGTCAATTTTATGCCCCTAGTAAATCACAATAATAGTAATATCTGAACCAAGTCAGGAGTTTTGAATACTTGTTCTGCTTCTGCTACTCAGTCATCCTGAGGGAATTCAAAGACAGACAAAGCTCAATTTCCTCACCTGTTAGAGGGGAGGAATAGTCCCGTTTTACTTAGTGACAATTAGAATTAATAAAACAACATATGTGAAGGTATTGATGTTCTATGAACATAGCTTATGTGGAAGATGGAATAACAGGCTATCACTCAAGAAACTGACTACTACAATTGTGCCTTAAATGTACTTGGGTCAATAATTTATATTACCGGGTCTCAATTTTCTTTATGTTTGAAATTAGAAGGGACATGTTAAATTGACTTCCAAACCACAGATATATGTGTTGCCGGTTTGATTTAGTATAATAGCTCTGTTGAGTACAAAGTTGTTCCTGGAAAACTTGGAAATCCAGCATAAATGTAAGGAAAATGCAGATAAATATCATGCAGTTGTGAGTTCTTACTCATGAAGGTGAGGAGGGTAGCTTACTCAGGTGACTATTGGCCCAATGCTAGGTCTTTGGAAGAATGTGATTTCAATTAGAATGCTCCTGAGCAGAAAGCTTGGCTTTAGAATGAAATATTTTTAGATGTCTTGGTTACATTGGCAGGAATCTTTTTGTTAAGACTCTTTGATGAAAAGTGCATTTTAAGATCCAAAATTGGCTCTGAGAATTAAGGACCGAAATAGCTTTCTCTTCATTTAAAGCAGATACTTCTCCATCTTGAAACAACACATTTGCCAACCAAAGAGTGAAGCAATATTTCACTTTTGAGGAAATAGTTCTAGTAAACACACACACACAAATTACCTTTTTATGGAATGACGAAAGAGAAAAAGTGTTGCCTTTTTTTTTTAAACAGATGTTTTCTTGCATCACCAGATGCACAGTTTAAAATTCAATTCAACACAAATGCTTAGTTAGCAGTTACTATGATCCAACCATGTTAGGCCTTAGAAACAGATCAGTGAACAAGATCGATTTGTCCCCTGACCTCATGAGACTTAGCATCTAGGTGTTCACTATTCTTAATTCTTCTGCAGACTCTTACTGTACATATATCTATCTTTTTTCTAAAACTTTTTTTTTTATAAGCAGTCAATTGAGTACCTAGTGGTTTGTATCTCCCATGTGTTCCTTTGTCACTTGTTGGTTTCACCATTTGTTTGATATTTGCCATTTCAAATTGCTATATAGGCTACATATTCATCCTACCTTCCTGATTCATGTTTATAAAATGCATATAGACAGAATTACAGTGTATCTCCCCTGTGTATCTATACACAGAATTACAGTGTATAGATCTTGCTCTGTACACAATGGTTGGCTGGATGTTTGACTCCTGGTGAATGCCACAGATATTGGGTGAACTATTTGTTTTCATAACAGCAATTTGTTATTATTCACTAGAACACCATACCATATATGTGGAGAAACAGAGCATAGACTCATAGACCTCAAACTCAAGGCAGTCACTGTTTTAACCAATGTAGAAAGAATCACAGTGCAGGATTATAAATGCTTTGAAGAAGGAAATATACAGGGTATATATATTGGGAATGCAGAATCAGATATTGCATAGAAATTACTAGGTGAGGATGGGATTAGAGGGCTGTGGATAGATGTCCCAAGCAAAAATAATGGCACATAGAAGGAAAAAAAAAAAAAAAAGCACGGGAGAGATAAATGGGGTTAGGGATTTGCAAGTAGCCTTAAATGGCTGAGTTGGGAGTGAAAGTGAGGAGATGATAAAAGCTGGTATGGAGATCATAGGCAGTGATCAGCCTATAAAGACCATTTATGCAGCTTGCTGAAGAGTTTAAATTTTGTTTTGAGGACTGCAGGGACCCATGAAAGGATGTGAATAGGAGAATTGCATGAACAGATTCACACTTCAGGAAGATGCTTCTGAAATACAGTTAAGCAAAATGTAAAGTTGGGAGAGAAGATGAAACCTCATTGCAAAAATCCGGGAAGAGTTGATGAATTGAGGCAGGGATATAAAAGAAAAGATAAAAAAAAAAAAAAAAAAACTGGGGCATTTACAAGGTAGAAGAAAAGGACTTGGTGAATCCCAATTTCTGATGGCACTATTTATTGATATGGAGGACATGAAAAGGGCAGCCAAGTTGGAGATGGGGTGGGGAATTAGGCATATGGACAGACAGCAAGCTCAGCTTGGGATATGTTGACTTTTCTACAGACGCGAAATGTCCCATGGGAGATTGGAAAATACAGGTCTAGAGCCAC